TATATATATATTTATATTGTGTGTGTGTGCGCGCAATTGAGGTCATTTAATTATTTTCCTCGAAAGTTGAGGACATGAAAGAAATCTACATGGTAAGCATGAACTATGGAAGATTGGAAGATTATTTCCAAGGTAAAAGTAAGAGGAGCCTTAAGGTGCAATTGTTATCTTAAAAAGATTATTATTAGTCCATTTGATAGTTCATTATAGAGAATAAGAGATCAAAGACTAATTAGAAGCCTAATATTAGCCTTTTTTGTTGACATTAGACTTTGTACTTGAAATTCATAAATATCTTGTGGGTGATAATAGACAGCCGGGTAAGATGACATGCATTCGCCAATTACATGATGGAGAACCTTGTTGGTCCACATAACACATCAAGGATGATGTCAACCTGATTATCTTCCAAAACTAACGATGGCTTACTTCAATGTTGGTGTACTGATGACATGTGTTAAGTTTATTGGAAATAGCATACCTAAATATTTATGTTGGCCTATTTACGTCGACCTTGTAAATAATTTGGTACATAAATTAGTGTTGATGGTGTGCATCAACTTTATAAATGAGTGTGCATGTTAATGGTGAGCTTCAAACTTATTGAAATTGCTCATGCTAAAAGTGAAAATGCATGTGTATCAATGTTAATTTGTAATAAGTTTTGATGGCTATGACATGTATGTATGATGTTAGTATCAATAATTATGCATTGACTTTAATTATTGGCGAAAATCAACTTTTGCGATGACATAATTATGCATTGACATAATGAATTATTATTAACATCATGTATTGAACTTATTGACAATGCCATGCATTGATATTGATATTGATGGAATGCATCAGGTCTTTTTGACAATAGAGTGTAGCATCATTATTATTGATGAGTTGGGTTACTTTTGTTAGCGATACTGGGATCGATGTTGTTTTTTACTAAACAAAATGAAGTTGAATAGGAGATAGCAGACACATTATGGTAAATAGTTGATGTCAATCGCCAAAGCAAATTTTTTATGTCCATTGCCAAGCATAAATTTCTTCAACTATAAAGCTAAAGTCTCATTCATATGAATAATTAGGTTTTTTAAGTGACATTTTGTTAAATTATAACCAAAGTAGTCAAGCACGACAATAGAGATATAGCTTGTGTTGATTCCCTTGATCTTGTAACATATTTTAGGCATTTTAGTGCATTAATGATATTCAAAATGATAAATTTTGGGCTTGCTTATTTCCTTTTATTGAGATATTTGTTTTGACTATAAAAAAGATATGTTCGAAAAATTTCTTACCCCTCAAATAGAGTTAAAAAAATCTCAATAAAAGAGATAATAATATTGTTGTGATGTTTATGTTAGAAATATGGCATGTTTTATCACAAAAAATGAGATTCTGTACTATATATATATATATATATATAT